AGTGGAACCGACATCCCACAAAACCACCAGCTATTTGAAGTGACCTGCGTGGACCCTTATTATTAGGACCCTATTATAGCCCCTTATTTAAGCAGCATTGTGGTCATGGCCAGGTGAAGATAAAAATGGCTCATTCGACTCCCCCCCCCCCATTCCTCATCACCTACATTTCCTATACCACCTTACTTCTTGCCCCTCACTTGCCATTGCCCTTCACTGCCTACACATTGCCTTCCATATCAGTTTCCAGCAGCAAAGTTTAATATCGGTAACATATTGAGCCAGCATTGCTTGTCATTTTGTAGCTAACAACTTTTGTGAGGGTAGTGGCCAAGCTCAACCAGGAACAAAGTAACAATGGAATCAATTTGAAATGCTAATATATATTTGTATTTTAAGCAGACATAATTTCAAAGATGACCGTCTGCGGAGCGATGAAAAAAGTAATACAAGGTGACCCAAAGATATCTCTGCCCCCAAACTTGCAACAATTCTTTACAAACCGGGGAGGGGGGCCTGGAACTCATGGTACTAGGTGTACCAACCCTAATTTGAAGATCTAGTTAACTGGTAACCATGCTCAATCGGCAACAAAGCAATTGTGGCATTCAGTGGCACTTCAGAAACATTCTCACCTCCTGTCATTTCCTTCCCTGAGGAGTGCCATCAGCTCACAGCACAGCAACCACGGGTCTCTTTAAAGGGAGGGCGGCTCGGTGCTTACGACTTGATACGATGAGGCCTTAGTCATTTCTGTTGCTTTTGTATGTTTTGAAAGGCAGCCTGAATAATCATCAGTTAATTTCTTCCTTGATTGGATCGTCTCTCGGACTTTCACTGAACTGTTAATCAATGAAGTCAACGGGGCCCAAAAATTAAGCCTACATGCATTCATGAAACTACAACGGGAATGCCACTTGCAAAGCCGCAGTGCATTGAAAGTTACGGCCAGACTCGCCTATCTCAGTCGCTAAGTGAAAATTAAGGATGATGATGCCACCAGATGAATCGCCATATCTAGATATTTTTCTAGTATTTTCTTCTGTCTAGTTTGGGACACTGAGAGTTGGCTGGTAAAACAGCGAATCGGTCGACGGGCCGTGCCATAGGAAATGCACTAATTTGTCGCCGATCTGCCACCGAAGTGAGCGGCCTACTAAAAATCATAGAACGTTTTTCGCTGGGATGGGATGGAGTCTAAGAAAGATACCATGGTGCCGTACGGTACAGTGAAGACTTTTTTATGGAAAAGCTTGTTGGTGTTGTGGGGTGACGTACGTCACCATTGAAGCGCCATGTGGGGCTGTGGAATGGGCGCCGTAATGTTTTCGGCTGCCGTCACCAAAACATTCGGTCAAGAGCATTTTGGTACCAACCGTCGTGTGAAAAAGACATTTTTGTCTCCGACCTTATCCACCAAGTCGGCAAGCTTTAATACCCCTAACGGCGCAACGGCACCACCGTGTGCTCCGATACCATGTCGCTCCTATGTTATTTTTTAATTTCGGCTTTGTATCTGGTGCCGTGGATGCCATTTATTTCCAGCGATTATTCAGGACTTTGTGGATAAATAGCACGCGACACAATCAATTACCTTGCTTTTTAACTGCCATGACAACTTGGGATTTAGCAATGCACATAATCTGTTGTACCCTGGGTGAAAGCGTATTTAACAATTGAATGCGCCCATCGGGGCCAAATATTTGAGCACGCGTTGATATGACGGCAGCAAGCTAATGAGCTGACGCGTTTACTTGCCAACCACTGGTGCTGACGCTCAGCCAGTTGAGCGATGTTCTATCCGTCTCACCTGACGATTTCTCTCACCATTTCGCGAACCAAGGCAAATCTCGAAACTGCAACCTGTTGCAAGACCATGAAACACAGTTCGGCATAGGTTGCCGGTACATCACCTAATCTTCCCATCTGACG